AAAAAAAAAAAAGAGTTTTTAAAACAGGCAGTAATTGGGCCATCCTAACATGGGCAATGACCTCATTCCACAAATTCGGGATAATACCTGAAAAAACTTGATCATCCCTGCTGTTCATCCAGGTTTTAAGGACTCCTACTGATGGAGTCAGTGGTGCTGATGCATTAAAGGTCTTAAAACTGATCAAATATTCAAAAATGAACAGGGAGCCAGTGACAATGGGATGTGCTTATGCTTGTGAGTACCAGTTAAGAGAAAAACTGCAGCATTTTGGACTGACCAAAGAAAACATTGCAACATAAAGTGCATTATAATAGTCCAAATGCATTGTGATCAGAGCATGAAGGAGATGCTCAAAAACTTAAAATAATAATATGGATTTGGTTCTGGATATTGGACTAAAGTGATAAATGCTTTAATGAAAGAATCTATCTTATCTAGTTTAAAATTACAGTCTTGTTTCACACCAAGGTTTGTTACTGTGAGTTTAGCTGCAGAGGACCAAGTCCAAGAGAGGAGCAGCACAGGCACTGCTGGGTCAGAACATAATGACATCATAACGTTTTCCATGTTTTCATCCATCTCCCAAACCATTACTGGAGTGTTTAAGGGAGACATTTGTTTTTATAGGCATGCGTGCCAGGCACATAGAAATGTGGAAGGCCATCTTTAAAAAAAAAAAAAAAAAAAAAAAAAAAAAATCAATGCCAGGCACTGACGGTAAAGGGAAAAAAGGATTAGCCAGAGAACTGATCTTTGTGGGACTCCATATGACATAGATCACCAAGATGGTAAGAAGGTTCTATGTGTTAAAAGAACCTAAACCACTCTAAGGCTATACCTTTAAGGCCCACATAGTGTTTTAATGAACCGTGAGTGTGGTCTATTGTGTCTAAAGCAGCAGAGCACAAGAAAGTCAAAGTCACTTAAGTAGTAAAAGATCATTAAGAATTCATAAAAATACAGATTTTGTGCTTTAGACAATTTTAAAAACCAGTTTGGGAAACATCCAGAAACACAGTCTAATGTTTAAGAGTACAGTTTTCTCTAAAATATTTAAAAGAAAAGGGAGCTTCAAAATAGGTTTTTAAAATCAAAGAATATACTGCTGGAGTTGTATGAAATAAGTAGGCACGACATCAAGTGAGACTGCTGTTAATAGTTACCAAGAAGAGAACTCCAGCAGAACCAGACCCGTTCTCACTCCCGAGGCGTAACATGCCGACGTTTTGTCATGTCCCAGGGCGTTCCTGAGGAACGCAAAAGGAGACCTTTGGCGTTGTTATGGTACGCGGCGGGTTATGGCCGAAATCCAGTGCAATGACGCTCCCGCGGTAATAGACGTTCCAGCCCTGTATTCCAGCCCTAAACCTAACCTTATCCCTAGCCCTAACCATAACCTTTTTCCTGAGCTTAACTAGGACTTTAATGATGTTAAATAGCGTGTTTCTAAGCGATTTGAAGAAAAAGAGCGAACATGTGTAGCTTGAGTCCATATGGTTCTCATTTTTCCTCATTTTTCCGAGGTCGTCATTTAGGAACGTGGTGGGTAGCCGAAAACGTAATATGTTGACGATTTGTCACCTAGCGTAAAATGTTACGCTTTGGGAGTGAGAACGTGTTGGGAGGGACAGCTATCCGTTGTGACTGGCAGGAACCAGCTATGTTAAAAATGAACTCTGCCAAAATTATTTCAAGACTACATCAATAACTCATCCAGGAGGTTACAAAAGAACCCAGAGAAACATCTAAAGAACTAGACATCTCAGTTGGGTCATAATTTAACAATAAGAAACAGAAAACCTCCACCCGCCCCACTCCTGCTAAACAGTTGACAACAGATTTAAAAGCAACAGGACTCGGATGGATTATGCATAAGAAATAGAACTGGGCTGAAAGGTCTATTGCTTTATTACGTTTTCAGGTTGTGTATCATGCTTTTTTTTTAAGTAACTAAGTAATAAGTAACTAATTACTTTTGAAAAGGTAATCAGTAAAGTAACAAGACTGGAGAAGTAATCAATAAATAGTTATATCCACGCTGCAACACAGTGTGGATATAACTTTCCACACTGTGTGAACTGAAAGTAGTTGACTGTAGTATGCAAGTAGCAAGTGGAAGTGAACAGCAAGATTGACAGGCAAGACTATAAATTTCAAAGAATTACACTATAGAGAACCAGTTTTCTACAAGAACCGGTTCCTGATTCCCATCTGTAGTTTCCAATTGTTTTAAAGGTGCAGCAAACCCAAGCTGAAAAAAATAAGCTAATATCCATTCTTCTATTTCCTTCCCAAAGATCTAGCTAAAGCAGTAGCATGAGAATTAAATCCTTAAATGCTTTAAATATTTAGTGCACCTTATAGGTGGGGCTGGAGCAGTCTTTAAAAAAAAACCAGCAACCATAAAACCAGTCTATATATAACTGCAGAAACAAGCCATAATGCAATCACGCACATGCATTATTACACGCATTGCAATCTATTTTGTGATCTCATTTGAGAGGCAGCGAGCACCTAATGCAGTAACACTTTAGGCTGAAATGAAAGTGATTATCACCATCACCCTCTCCTCTTTGTGTTGTTCATTGAGCCCCTGAGACAATTAATAAGGTAGCAAAGTTGTTGTTTTCCCGATGGAGCCAGAAACAGTTTTTACAGAGTTTTGGCTTTCTTTGGAAAACTGTCAGGTTACAAAATCAATATATGAAAAACACAGGCTTTGACATTAAAATGTATTGACTCAAAGAACAGCTACAGCTTCAATCTCTGTTGGGATGCTGAATTGCTTAACTATCCAACAGAGCTTTCACAAGCCAATCACAATCCCTTATCCTATTAAATAAAATCAAACTTGCAAAGATGGAACCTTATACCATTTTTAAATCTAAACACAAAGATATCATCCCCTGCCTTTCATACATCCCTTGAATCCTATCAGTAGACATAAGCAATAATCAGTTTAGCAATTGGGACAAATGGATTATCTGGCAGTGAAAGAAACCCAAAATCAGTTTCAGCGTGTTGCAGCTGGGAAAAGAAAGAAAGGATGGCTCTACCATGCTGAAGAAGCTACTACCTTGCAGCACAATCAATTCCTCTACTCCATTGGTGCAATAAAGACTACAAAGTTTAATGGAAAGAAACTACTAACTGAAACTTGAATCCTTACTTAGGACCTATATTAAAAACCTATAAACCTATAAAAGACCTCTAAAAGTTTAAAAAACATTGCTTTGAATAAAACTTTAACTAAAGGGATAAGTAAACTATACAATATGCTCTCCTTTGCTAACAATGACAATACTTCATTTGTCAAAGAGAAATGGGAGTCTGAGGTGGGGGTTAGACAATCAGAGCAAGCCTGGGGTAGTATTTGCAAATGCCAATGGTCTTCAACTAACATCTGACTTGGAGAGAGCATTGTTGGAAGACCGTGATGACACATTTCAAAACCCTACATCAAGACACATAAGAACCCAAATGTTCAATGTCGGAGACACTGCAGTTTTTATAAGGCTGGAAGATAAGTTTAAGACTTTCTGGGTTATGTCAGATTCAGACACTTCAAGTGTCAAATCTGAAACTGTGACTTCACATATAAAATAAGGACTTTTCTTGGTCATATTTGCCAATCCAGTATCATGTCTTTGACAGCAATCTTTGTCCATGCAGTGTCACCCTCTGAGCTAGAAACAACCTGGAAACACATAAACACATTGTGGTAGAACTTTGTATAATAATGTGTGGTGGAAACTTTTTGTACCATTTCTGACTGACGCTGTTCTTAAATAAAGAATTTAAAACAAACAAACAAACAAATAAAGTAAAATGTTAAAATGGACCCTCAAACAGGCAGTGCAGTGAGGAGTAATATGCTCTCGCATCCATGTTCCAGTTAAAACCTGTCAGCAGCATTTTGCAAAAGCTGAAGACAAAACAGAAAGAAGTGGCTAAGTAACCACAACATGCAACAGACAGGTCATGTATCTGCATAACACCGGAAAGCAATTTTGTGCTTTCTTAGAATGGAACAGAGGAGCAGCAGATACTTCTTATTCCTATGGAAGTAAGGATGAACTTAGTTTTTAACACACCATTTCAGCATTGATTACGTTTCGTTTCCTAAATAAGTAATGGCATTTTGATTTATGTTTTGTTATATATATATATATATATATATATATATATATATATCGTTCAGGTTTACTGTTTCTATATACCCAAATTTAAGACCACATTACATTTTAATATGTCCCGATTCATAAAAGTGATTTACTTGCTTTTATTTTATTGACAGAATGCACATCAGATTTTTGAGCAATCCCAATTTAAAGAAAAACATCAGAGGAACTTTTTTTTCCAGCTACTCGTTTGTACATAAAATGTTTCACAGACATAACGCGATTATGTTTTCTCTGTTTATCATTGTGATACAAACCTGGGCCAATAATCTATAAAATAAAACATTTAAACTCCTTACTTCAGTTATACAGCAAGTATTTATCTAAGAACAACCAGAACAAAATAAATTTGTTAATTTAGTGTCTCGTGTCGGTAATGATAGCGAAAAACACCTTTTATATATCGTTATTCTGATAACCTTTAAATTCGTTCATGTCGCAGTACATGTTTGATGCGTTTAGGAGTCGCTGTGAAGAGTCCTGAATTTAAATACATGTAAACAAGGTATTGATTACGCGGTCGCCCTTTGCTGCAGACTGGAGTTGCCATAAACCAGGACAGTGTGTTTGTTTGAGCTACTGCCATTCCGCTCTTCTGAAAAATCTGGATCCCACTGGTTCTGGCTGGTTCACACAGAGATTGGAGGTTCATGAATCGTAATAGGCTGGCCAATCCAAACTAGTAATATGTTAAAATGAGACAGACGTTTCATTAAAAGCTAGTCGAGGCTGCTGCGGGCTGCTGCAGATCCCAGTGCACTGACATTTAACAGACCTGACAGAATCACGATGTGCCAGTTCCACAGCGATTGTGATCTCATCTAAGCTACCCATGTGAAAATGATAAAGGCTTTGAGAACACTTACTGATGATCCAGTGACAACAGCAAGATCCACACGTAAAACTGCCGGCACCACTGCTGTTGCAAAGAAGCAGTCTCCTCGATTTCTGCAAAGCCAGAGACTCCGCCCACCCTGACAACATCCACCAGGAGCGTAGTGATGGGTCGTTCGCGAACGAAATGGCTCTTAGAGCCGGCTCTTTGAAGTGAACGACGCGAGCCGGCTCCTTATTGGGAGCCGTGAGGTGTTTTTTTTTTTTTCTTTCTCTCACCCTCTCTCTCGCCCTTTTTTCCGCTAAACTCCGCATGCGCGGCCTGTACTTTGCGCTGGGCAGAGGGGGGAGGGGCGTTAGTTACACTC